TGGCTATGTCGCTGGACTCCCACATAGTCGACCGCGGTTCGTGTCCTGGACCCAGTGGCTTAAAACTCACTCCGTGCGCGTGCGCGTGTGTGCCCAAGATCCCGAGAGGAGAATGTTCTGGCCAGCACATGTGCCCTATAACAAAAACTGTCAAAAAAAAAAAAGTGAAACAGAAAAATAGGAAGAGATGGGTTTTTGAATACTTATTACCTTTTTAAAGAATTATTTACCTTTGGGGCCATTGCGGCGAGGCTATCCCCCCTGGGGGGGTGATTTCTCGCTTTCTGTCTCTATGTCTCTCTCTCTCTCTGTCAGGCAAGCGCACGCACCCTATAGCGAAAAACTGCTCCAAAAAAAAAATATCTCTCTCTCAAAAAAAAGAATTATGAAAAGACGAGGGCCATGAGTTGAAGAGGGGGAGCCTGTATAAGTGTGTGTGTGCACAGCCAGGCACAGCCCTCTCTCAACACCAGAGAGCAACCCCTGCTCCCTCCACCACCCACGTTCCAGGAAACAGGTCCTGGCTGCCCAGCCAGATGGCAAAGCTGTGTACAGAAGACACAAAGGGCGAACACATGGTCCTGGTGGCAAAGTGGACGGCACTCGTGCCTCTCAGGAATCATTAACAAGTACTTTTTTTCTCGGAGCTTGCTAGTGGTGGCCTTCCTGGGCAGGGACCCTCTCAGGGACAGTGGTAGAGCTTTGCTAGGGAGGTGAGGAGGACAGCCACCTGCCTTGAGGCCAGGCAGGGAGACCTCTGGGCATAGTCCAATGGGCAAAATCAAGAGCCCGAGGTCGTGATTACTGAGTCCTAGCCAGTGCTGTGCTGTTCCACGTGGAGGGTCCTGAGGATGGGGCAGGGAGCCCTGACTTCCAGTGTTTGCAGATTTCCGTGACTGATTCCCAGCTACCCACATGATGTCATGGAATATGGACTTGGAAAGAGATGACCATGTGTGGTGTTTCCACCATACGTTTACAATAGATGTAAAACCACAAGAGCACAGGTAGTATGACTAGTAAAACGGGACCAGCAGATGGCGTAGTAGTTACATCATTGGACTCCCGTGTGGCCAACTGCAATTTGAATCCCAGATCCGGTGCCTTGAAAAATCACGTCGGCAGGCGGGTGGCAGCAGGTGTCATGGTGGTTGAAGTGCTGGACACTCTCACGCTGGAGTCTCAGACCTGGTAGCTTGCTTTCTCACTTTCCCTCTCTCTCTCTGGTCAAGTTAAAAATAAATAAACGGATAAATGAAATTAAGTTAAAACATTCTTAAAGAGTGTTGGCGTCACTTTGGCGTCGGCCATGTTCAGCGGAGACGGTAGCTAGATGACGATTCCTGGCAGACGGTATGGGCTTATTTTGCCAAAGAAACACAGCTGTTGCACCCTGTTTTGCAAAAACCATCAGTATTTGGGAATGACTCTGATGATGGTGACAGGGACACATGTAGAGGGGAGACAGTGAGTCTCACGGAGAGACAGTGAGAGGGAAAGTAAGAAATCACTCCCCAGGGGGATGGCCATGCCGCAGTCCCTTCTCCATTCTTCTCCAGTTTTGGGCGCGTGTGCTCACACACCTGGCATGAATTTCAAACTACCGAATCCAGGACTAGAACTGTAGTCAGCTATGTGGGAGTCCAGTGACTTAACCACACCACCACCTATTGATGGCTCACGATTGGCTAAGTTTATATAAGCAAAGACTATGAAACTGTAACCACAATAAAGGTAGTGAACATAAACAAAAAACAAAAACAAACAAACAAACAAATCACACTGGGCATGTGTGTGTGTACCCAAGATCCCAAGAGGAACATGGAGAAGGGAGCATGGCCATCCCTGCTAAAGGATGAGTTCTCACTTTCTTTCTCACTGTCTCTGTCTCTCTCACTTTCTGGCCAGCACATGTGCCCTATAACAAAAACTGTCAAAAAAAAAAAAGTGAAACAGAAAAATAGGAAGAGATGGGTTTTTGAATACTTATTACCTTTATTTTAATATAAGTGTGAGTATTTTTTAAAGAATTATTTAACTTTGGGGCCAGCAGTTAGCGTAATGGCTATGTCGCTGGACTCCCATGTAGTCGACCGTGGTTCGTGTCCCGGACCAGGTGGCTTAAACTCACGTCGAGCATGTGTGTGTGAGTGCCCAAGATCCCGAGAGGAGAATGGAGGGGGGGTGATTTCTCGCTTTCTGTCTCTCTGTCTCTCTCTGTCTCTCTGGCAAGCGCGCACGCCCTATAGCGAAAACCTCTCAAAAAATAATAATAATAATGATTTAACTTTCAAAAAAATAATTGTTTAATTTAAATTTATTTATTTATTTGTTTGTTTGTTTGTTTAATTTGACCAGAGAGAGACAGAGAGGGAAAGTGGAAAAGCAAGCCACCCGGTCCAGGACTTGAAGCACAGTTGGCCATGTGGGAGTCCAGTGCCCTTCACCACCATGCCACCTGCTAACCCCAAATGTAACTTTATATCTATTTTTTTTTTTTTTTTTTTTAGAGTTTTCCCCTAGGGAGCATGTACTCCTGAGAGAAACAGAGAGAGGCAAAGTGAGAAATCACCACCCCCGGGGGGTGATGGCCATGCCACAATCCCCTCTCTTCCATTCTCTCAGGATTTTGGGCATGATCACACACATTATTTTCAAGTCTCTGTGTCTGGGACTTGAACCATATTTGTCTCATTCTCTCAGGATTTGGGGCATGCTCACACATGCTCAAGTCTGGGACTTGAACCATATTTGTCCATGTGGGAATTCAGTCCCTTAACCGCCATGCCACCTGCCAGCTCCTACCATATATCATCTAATTCTGAAGAGTGACGGTATCTAAGAACTGGCTCACTAGAGCAGCAGACGGAGTGAAGGTTAAGGCAGCTGGATCCCACATGACCAACTGTGTGGTCTGAGTCCCTCTCCCAGTGGTTTGAAAAACACACTGGGCATGTGTATGTGAGTGTCCAAAATCCTGAGAGGAGAATGGAGGAGATGGGATAGCTGCACCGTCCCCTCTGGGCGGTGATTTTTCACCTTTTTTCTTTGTTTCTGTCTCTGGCAAGTACATGCACCCTTAGCAAAAATTCCAACAGTAACAAAAACCTGGCTTGCAAAATTTCTGAAAATTCAACAGTTGGCTCTGGAGAGCCGGCACAGGCCGACTCTGGGTTACCATGTTCCTCATGCTTGGGACCCCAGGAATTGGAGGGCAGGGGACAAGGCAAAGGCCCCATATGACTTCCTGTTCACCCTGCCCTCCATCCCTCAGATCCTTTCCTTCATCCTGCACACGATCGTGCGAGGATTCATCCACTCTGCCGTCGGGGGCCTGTATGCTGCCGTGTAAGTCCTGGAGGCTGCATGTGGGTGGGTGGTGGGCAGGATGAGACTGAGACCCCGAGGCTGGGACAGCTTATCCCAGAGGGTTTATCTTCTCGCATCAGGGTTTCTGCTGGGTGTGGCAGGGATGGCTGAGCCTGGCAGGAGGTGGGTCAGTGGGCAGACAGCTGGGTGCTCACAAGCCTGAGCATTTAACACGAAGTCAGTGCCTTGTGCTGGGTCAGTGCTCTGTTCACTCAGAATGGCCTCAGGGACTGCCACTGAGCCGAGTCCCTCACCGGGGAGGACGGGTGGGTTTTGGCTGTCCGAATCTAAATGTTGAAGTTCAAGTGGCCTTCAGTGAGGGCAGAGACATGGGTGACAGCCCGGGATGGACCAGACAGCCCTCACTCAGAGCCTCTGAGAGCCCAGAGGCTGCCCACAGCCTTCTTGGGTCCTGGCTCAAACGAAACCTGAACTTTTTACCCAAGAGGCCACACGTCCATATGGACCCACAGTTGCTCCTCCTCCTCTGGCCTAGGGCTTGGCCCAGAATCGGCACTAAACCTCATCGGCTGTCTCTGGCTGTGAGACCAGCTCCTTCCTTGCTGGCAGCCCCTTGCCCCCTGGGGGGTGGCGGGCAAAGCCTGCCAGCTGCTGAGGTTGAATCCGGAATTCTCTCCCTTTCCAGCAGCATCCCACAGGGGTCATCCCAGGTCTGCTTGTCCTCCGCCTTGCCCTGCCAGGCCTGGAGGAAGCGGTGGCTGCCCCGGCAGGGCCGGCAGGAGACAGGCAGAGCTGGGATGCTGAGCTTCCGTGATTACACAACACTCCTCTGGAGGAGTGCGGCCGAGCCGGCCCAGCCTCCAGCCTGCTGCCTGGGCCCGGTTCCCAAGCTGCAGACTCCCGCTGGCACCACACTTTCCACTCAGCTGGGCCAGACACCCACAGGCCCCGGGCATAGCTAATCAGGGCGGGCCTTCCACAGAGTGAAGGTTCCCGTAGGACTGCACAGCAGAGTCACCCTGTCCTCGGGCTGTGCCTGCCACTCCCTTCTCTGGCACTTAAGGTGCAGCCTAGGGGCACCAGCACACCTGGGGCCCAGCTGAGGCCCGAGAAGGTCTGGAAAGCTTGAAAAGAGCACCAGCATGACAGGTCTCCCTTGCCCCACAGGTACCCGTCCACCCAGTTTGGCAGCCTCACGGGACTGCAGTCTCTGGTTAGCGCGCTCTTTGCTCTCCTGCAGCAGCCGCTCTTTCTGGCCATGACGGGGCCCCTCCAAGGAGACCCCCTGTGGGTAAGAAGGGGCAGGGGATGGTGGGGTAGGGGCTGCTCTTCTCTACTGGTGGGAACTGGTAAGCATCTCTTGGGGTGCTTTAGAGCCCTGATGATGGGCAGTTGGAGGACTTTGGTTGGGGTCAATTCAGGGTCCCCATGTGAATGGTGGCTAGACAGGAAGAGAAAAATGTCCCCTGAGGACCTGATTTCTAGGTAAACTAGCGTTGCAGCCCCACCCCACCCCTCTCAGTAGAGCTGAGGTGGAGACCCAGGCCCTGAGGGCTGCCTGGCAGCCAGTGGAGATCTGAGAACCGATGCTGGAATGTGGAATGGCAGGCCTCAGGCCTCTGGAACCTTCCTTGTGCCTTCTTCCCCTTCCTCAACCCTGAGTGCGAGAGTGGGTCTTAGCTCCCCGTGATGGCCGCTGTCCTCCGGCCCCCAGGTGAACGTGGGGCTGCTCGCCCTGAGCATGCTGGGCTTCTGCCTCCCCCTCTACCTGATCTGCTACCGGCGCCAGCTGGAGAGGCAGCTGCAGCAGAAGAGGGAGGACGACAAGCTTTTCCTCAAGATCAATGGCTCATCCAACCAGGAGGCGTTCGTGTAGCACTCGCCACTGCAGGGCCGAGGCCTCCTGCCCGTGCTTCAGTGACTGCTGATGCCCTCCTCCCCGCCCCAGAGGACCTCACGCACCCCCCAGTCCTCGCCTTCACCGAGTCGGAGTCCATGCTGCTCCCAGGGGCGCCCTGGTCCTGCCTCGGAGCCCTGCGGTGGAAGGACGGGAGAGGGCCCAGGACGGGCCAGTGTCCTGCTGGAAGCAGCGGCAATCCTGGCTTTGCCCTTGCCACCCCTGAGGGACCCTAGGGCCTTGGGTCTCCGCGGTGTCTGCAGGAGGAACCAAGAGCACCCTGACACACAGGCAGGCTCTCTTCCTCAAGTGTCTGGATTATGCCTCTTGCCAAAGCAGAGGGCTCTGCCATCCACTGCCTGCCACCTGCCCCTCGGCTGCATGCCCACCGACCACGCCTGCCTGAGGACAAAGGCTTGTGCGCTCTGCATCCCCTCGCCTGGCCCCTCGCCTCCTTCCCGGCCAGTCTGAGGCTGCCTGAGGAAGGAAGGACCCGCTTCCTGTTGTTGGTGCTAACTCCTTTGTAATTCCAGCCGCCCCTCCCGTGGCCTGTCCACGGCCTGCCCTTCTGAGGCCTGTGGAGAAGCCTCTCCTGGCTTACAGCTGGGAGGGGATGGAAGGCTGGACGGTCACACGAAGCCTCAGGAGCATGGATCAGGCTGGTCAGTTGTCCCTCACCTCCTGGAACACATTTCCACTGCCACTCGTTCCAACCTGTGACCTGAAGGGCATTAAAGGGGCACCACCAGGCCATGCCCCATGCCACACACGCAGCTGTTTCTGTGGGGGTAGAAGTAAGGCTGGGGCTGACAGGAGGCCCAGGCCGGGTGGAGTAGTGGGTTTGTGAAGGGCTGAAGGATGTGGGTGCGTGGATGAGTGTGTAAGTGTGGTGTGTATGAGATGGGGTGGGGAAGGGGCTTCTTGGGGTATGCCTTTATCCCCTCTGGCCAGACCAGGAGCCATGCAGGCCTAGGGCAGACGCAGGGCCCAGGAGCCAAGCTGGCCCAAGGCCCAGTCTGTCCAAGGCCGCAGGGCCACAGCGCCCCCTGCTGGCAGACTCTACCAAGGCCCTGGAGCTGTGCACGTGGGAGAGGCCAGGCGGCCTGGCTTACCAATCACCCAGCTCGACTGTCCCCAGACATGTGTCTCACACTTCCTGTGAGTGTTGAGAAGGGTTGGTTAATTTTTAGGCTTTTAATTTTTTTGTCCTCTTCTAAGTTTGATCAGACTTCTTTTTATAAAGCAATAAATCCATTTTCCTCCTGGTAAGGGATGCCCCGTCTAGCATATCAGTTCATGGCTATAAGTGCCTGTTTTGAGCTTGAGAAGGAAGGGGAGACAAGCTTTTCTGCCACCGGCCAGCCCCTGCCGTACCCACTGTGCATCCTCCCTCCGGGAGACTGCCTTTCTGGGAGGGGCAGCAGCCAGGGAAGACCTTACTCCCCCCACCTGCACACCAGTGGGCCTGTGCGGACCTCTCAGGCTTGGGGATCACCCCCACTGCAGCTTATCCCAGCTGGGCAGGCTAATCCTAACCCCATTCGTCCCCTATGCAGAGGGTTCACCCTGACATAGGTGACCCTAGGATTGCCGAGGGCTGGGAGAACAGGGTCGGGATGTGGGGGGTGGGTAGGAAGAGGCAGACATGGGCCCAAATTAATCTCCATGTTCACAGCAGAGCACAGCGTGGCGAATCTCCTAGGCTTCAGTCCATCTAATGTGAAAAATCAAAGCCAAAATTGGAAAGTGACAAAAAGGAGCCAAACTGACATTTCCCAGACCATTCCTCGGAACACTGTCCCTGGGATGTAGTAATGATTATTCTAATTTAGGGGGAAAAGTACTAAAGTCAAATCTGGGAAATGCCAAAATACAGTCACGCCTGCCGTTTCCCAGCAAGCACGTGCAGCGTGTCCGGCATCAGGAACTTGGGGAGTCTCCGAGAGGGGATGTAGATGGTGTCGCTGAGGGATTGGCTGACTCTAGAGCTGTCCTCCACGCGTGCCTGGCGGCCGTCTGCAGCAGCAGCTCTCAGGGTGCTCGGTACAGACCCCCAACAAGGAGTGTGGTTTGGGGAAATGCTGATCCACGGGGGAATGCACTGAGGTGGGGCAGACATAGCCTGCAGTGTCCCAGCAGTGCCCGGAGTGAGAGCCCAGCCTTGTTCTCTCCACCTGAGGCCGTGGCACTGTGGGAAGAAGCAGGCCTTGAGAGACTGGAATGGAGAGAGGGGAGCAGGCTAGGTCTGGCAGCGTGTGGGGATTGGAGCGCTGGAAATGGGGGCAGGAGGGCCAGCTGGGTAGCGTGGTGTTTAAGGAGACTGGGTCCCACGGGGCCGACTGCATGGTACAAGCCCTGAACGTGGTGGCAGCTTGTAAAACGTGTGCTTGAGAGGAAAAGGGATTACAACATGGCCATCCCCCCTGAAGGGTGCTTTCTCACTTTCTCTTTCTCTCTGGTGAGTACGCACTACCTATAGCAAATTTTAAAAAAAAAAAAAAAAAAAAAAAAAGGGAGCAGAGAACAGAGGGGGGGGGTA